GCTGCGGCCTCTCTCGTGTCCTCATCTTCAATGCAGAGCAGCCTACGTGCCTGTGTATAGCATACAGACATGTGGTATATAGGCAGATTGGTCCTGTGAGACCCTGTCTTTGTGCCAGTACAGGTATAGCAGCGCGATGGGTAAGCATAATAGGGTCATGCAAAGAAGGGCTACTGCTACATCTCTGCAGAAAATACCTGGACGTTACTGCTTCCCTCACAATATAATGTGTTTGTATGAGTTTGGGGTTCGCTTACAGCAGTTTAGGGGCAGAACTAGCAGAAAACATCACAGTTTTGTGTTCTTACAGAAAGTGAGCACCCCGGTACCTCAAAGTTGGAAAGAAGGAACAAAACCAGCTTCTCAGAATTATGGGTGTTGCTGTTTGGGGAGTTTAGGTTTTAGTACCAAAGAACGCTGAGATGGTAATAAAATGGCAGTGTTCACACCTACATATGTATGTCTTGCAGTCTATATCCTTTTACCCCAACTTTTAAGAAGTTTAAAAAATCCCAATTTTTTATACCTCCAATCTTTATAATATTTCAAAGCTTTGGTTTGTGTAAAAAAGATGCATGTTCTTTCTCTTAAGTTGGACTTGTTTCACGTTGCTTAAGACCACAAGAGCAACCGTACAGTTTCAAAGCGCAACATCCTATCTTGACAGCCATCAGCTGCAGGATGAGCTAAGAAAGATTACAGGGTAAGCAAGTAGTGATACTTCCTCAGAACATTTCTGTTTTTTTTTTTTTTTTTTTTTTTCAGCTCAGAAAGTCACTAGCCACAGTTGTTGCCTTTGTGTCAAGTAGCTTCAGGTGGTTTTGATTTTTTTCCCTTTAATTTCTCTTTTTTTTTTATTTGGAGTCTGTATCAGTTACTGATATGTACAGTATCCTGCAGCAAGCACTTCTTCAGATTTAACTAGGATTTCTCTGGGTGGGGAAAAAAGGAGGAAACTTTGTTTTGAACTGGCTACCTACTAGCTTCATTTGATACCTCTTAATTGCTGTACTTGAAGACATAGGACCTTTTCCATAACACTTAGGGATTTTATAGATTATACCTTCCCTGCAGTCTTCTCTTTTCAGTGTTATGACTATAATTCCTCATGGCATGAAATTGAATGTTTGTTTGGTTAACTGCTGGACCACATGATACGATTTATGTCATTGTATTGGACAGCCAGTACCAAATATGTTTTGTTAATTGCTATTTTTTTAAAATGTAGCCTGTGGGTTTACTGCATAACTGACCTTTTTTTTTTTTTCTTTTTTTTCTTCTTTTTAAGATCATGAAAGTGATGATGATTCTTATGAAGTATTGGATTTAACAGAATATGCCAGACGTCATCACTGGTGGAATCGTGTGTTTGGCCGGAATTCAGGACCAATTGCAGAAAAATATTCTGTAGCTACGCAGATTGTAATGGGCGGAGTGACTGGCTGGTGAGAAAACATCACTTTCATAGTTAGCTAGATGTTTCACTGTTGTTCAAAGGTCTCTTTTCAAGGCTATTTGAAACACAAGTGCATCCTTTACTTCTCTAATAGTATTTCCCTTTTCATTGAACACAGCTATTTTTGTGTGATCGGTTTCTTAACTAATCATGCTGATTTATCATTCTAAAGTCTTTTGCAGTATTGGTAAAACATGCTTATTATCAAAGAGAATTCCTACCAGTTATTGTGCTAAGTGTCAGGATAATTAAAAAAAAATCAAGGAATAAATGGAAACTTACTGTATATATTTTTCCATGCAAGCAAAAATTATATTTCCTTATTAATATAGTTTTGAAGACCTAGCTATGATAGTATGGCTGGAATGTATTTTACAGACATTCTGTATTTTTTAAAGAAATGAAGAAAAAAATATGTGGCAGCATACACTTTTAATTCAGAGACCAGTTTATAGAGACACTTTGTTTCTCTTACTTACACTGGAGCAATTTTGAACGCCTTAACTCTCTGCTCTCCTGTTAGCTGAAGAGAGATACCCCAGTGTATCCACTACTATCAGCTACTCTGAAGCAATTTATGGTGATAGGTAGACAGAAAAAAAAGAGAAGTTTAATTGTGAAGTATGGCTACAGTCTTTTAAGTTGTATCAAATCATAGGTATTTAATTGGTATTTGTATATTCCACTTTTTCTAAAATGGTGAGTTCAGTGAAAAAAACAAAACATTATGGTAGTGCACCATTTAAAATACCATTATGCAAGAATTAGAAAGTGAAACAGACCAAAAGTGATACTGCCAGGTACAGGTTCAGCACAACTTTGGAGACTGCAGATTACCCTACAGTCTGATTTGTACTTGTTTTCATAGACTCAAAATTGCTTTTAGAAGGTTGGAAGCATATACATAAACTCAGAAATGTCTACTGGATAAAGAATGGGAATCTGCCGTCCCTAGAAGTGGCTTATTGAAACATTTGGAAAATCTGTATTTCTATAACTATGCGTGTGTATTTTATTTATATCACTCTTCCTATGCAAGAAGAAAAAAAATCATTGTGCGTGTGTTTGTGTGTGTGTGGTCAGACACCAAAACAATTGTCCAGAGAAATTGCTGAACTGTCATTCCTGGGGATACCCAATACTTGCCTATGTGCCCTGAGCCGCTTGATGTAGCTTAGAGGTTGGATCTGACAGTAGGCCCTGTTTTGGACAGGAGGCTGGACCAGATGAATTTCTGAGGTCTCTTCCTGCCCACATTAGGCTATAATACCAATATCTGTGCTATCCCGTACATGATGTGGGAATGCTGGGAGGCTACTGATAAGAAAATAAATTCATAATTGCCTTTTGTTAAAAATAGACCAAGGCAATGTCTGCACCCAGAGGGTTTTTCCCCTACTTTTGTTAGGGATGCAATGTCTTTTTACCTGAAATAATTAAATTATGGGTAATATAGTTACAAAAAATGATGGTATAAGACATTCACCTTCCACTTAGGAATAGTTACAATTACAGTGGCATTTTTATATTATTATATTGTGTACCTTATATTAAGGTGCTGGTATATTTAGTAACAGCATATTGCTCTTAGGTATATGCAAAGCCTGGAGCCTGCAAACTTATTTTAATGGAACCATCATATAAGCATGAACTGTTAACTCTTATTCATGTCATCTTGCTTTAGAGCTTATATATTAAATGTTGTTTGTATTAATGATTAAAAATTCTAAATATGAAATGAAACGCTTTATTAAAATAGTCAAAAACTTAGTAGTAATAGTTATCATGGGGGATTCTGATGTGTGGCATTGTTCAGCAGACAACTTCACTGGACTGGGTTTTTTGTTTGTTTTGTTCTCCTAAGGTGTGCGGGATTTTTGTTCCAGAAAGTCGGAAAGCTTGCAGCAACTGCAGTAGGTGGTGGCTTTCTTCTGCTTCAAGTATGTAGCATTTCACACTTTATAAGTTGGAAAATGTTACTTATTTAAACAGTAGGGAAAAATTCAGCTGATGAGTAAAGCTAAAGTAGGAAGGCTTCCTATGTACTTGATCTTCGCAATCTTGTCAGGCAAAATCTTACCATTTCAGCTGAAATACGGTGTGCAAAAGAGACGCTTCCAAAAATCAGTGGTAAATCAGAATCTACTCAAGTGCTTTCAGTAGTTTGTAATAAGCCAAAAGAAACTTCTGTGCAGAAACTGAGATACTACATGTGGTTTGATATTGCCAGAATAGAGGCACTGCTTGTAAATCTATAGTTAGAAAGATCAAATAATTTAATCTGCTTTTATCAGAAATAGTTTGAGAATTTTATCAGTGCCTTAAGAGAAGTAGGCTTCTTTGGGCGTTGCTTGGAAGATTTGGTTTGGGCTCATTTTGAAACCACGCTGACTGGTACCTTCATTGCGTTCACCCATTCAATGGAATTTCAAGGCTAAAATCTGGCAATAGTGTCATCTAGTGTGACCATTTACATTTTTCATCATATATGGTGGTTAGGGGGAATACACATTCCCCCAAAGCTCTCAAACTAGATTAAGTTAAGAGGCTTAAGTACAGGAGATCTTACATATCTTTCCATAGATTGCCAAGTAGTTTGTAATTCCTTCACTGACATTTTCAGTATACCTGTGGGCTTGTCATTTTTCCTCAGGTTCTAAAGGAAATAGTGATGCCTTCTTAGGTTCATTCAAAAAATATACCTTTTTTGAAATGGTTTTAAAGATACATAGAGATATATAGATACACATATACACGCATACATATATGTGTGTATTTTTTCTGTCCTTGTTAACGTGGCCCTGGATGTTTCTGAAAAACCTGTCCCAATTTTACTTGTTCACTTGATGATAATGGCTCTTACTGCCAACCATCGATCAGGATACTTTGTGGAATACCTCTGTGTGCTGCTGTGTGATGAATCCCAATACACAGTTGTATGTACTCATACTTCTTTCATGATTATCTTCTCTGCAGAAATTTCTTAAGACCTCCAGAACGCTTTTTAAACATAACTACTGCAATTTGGTTTTTGGAACAGTTTGGCTTGAGATGTTTTCAACAAGTATTAAGCCTATTTTTTTCTCAGTTATTCAGAGCAGCACTAATGTAAAGAGACAAAGAGGAATCATTTTGATATGAAGCTTTGGAGTAGTAGTTTTCTTTCTACTGCTCTTTTGTGTATTGATGAGCTCTTTAAACCTCTTGGAAATCACTAGTTATTGGGCTTTTGTCTGCACACAGGGATAATATAAGAAGGGTATTGAATTTGAAACTGTTTATGATCATGCAAATGTAAATATGCCAGCAAATGAATCAGTTCGACTGACTACCCTGGAATTCTTAAGCACATGTATATTTCTGAATCATGAAGATTTAAATCTTCATATATCTAGCCAGTGGGTCCTGAAAGTCCTCATCATGTGTTAGTATTTAAATACTTTTCATCTAGGAGACATAAAGATCAAAATCTGTCTTCCTGTATAACATGCTAATAGCCTTAAAAATATATTTTAATGAAAATTCTCATCTAAATGTGACCTATTAAATCAGCAAAGAGCGTGCAGAGCAGTGGCCTATGATTTATCAGCAGAGCAGAATAGTATATAATATATTACAGGATATAAATATAAAGTATATAATAGATCCTGAAAGATCTTCCAGGAGTTCCTTGAGCACAGGACACTGAGAAGTTAAAACAGATCTTTAGACAGGGGTAAAGAAAAACTGCTTTAAACACATAGTTTATACAGTATCTTTGTTGAGCTGTGATGTCTGGGGAGGTTTCCTTTATGTAAAATAATTTGCCATGTGTTTTTGAGTATCTGTTTTCCTAGTTGATCTCATTTACCATATAGCTGAAAAGGAGTATTATGTAAGACAAAAAATGAGTTGCATATTTTGATTGAGTTGTCTGTATCTGTAATTGAGTAAGATCAGATTCTGCAGAAAGGGAATGAAGTAAATGCCTTGGTGTTTCATTTTAATTCAAAATGTTTTGCATTTTAAAGCTGAGTCATAAATTGTACAGTGTAATTACAATTCTGTAGTCTTTAATTTTTTCATTTAAAGATCATACGTTGTGATTTTAATTTCCTTATGAATACGTATTTGACGCTTCCCCCGAGTGGGCAGAGAACCATTTCAGCAGCAGAACTAGAACCTTCTTTTTATCTATTAATTTCTCTGAAGTAGCAGATTTCATTTGTATTCTTTTTTGCAGTATTAATATCATAGTTACTTGCTAAAACAAGAAATAGAACTATAGAAGGCATGATTCATGTATAAAGCTCATTCAGTTGCAAACCTGAAATTTCAAAAGCCCGTTTTTCTTCATTGTGCTGTGACTTTGTTTCAAGAAATACTGCAGCAATGTATTTGGGAGTGTCAGACCTTTGTATGAAGAGCAAAAAGTTTTCTCAAATTCTCATAAATATCTAGAAAAAAATAAATCTTAATACAGATAAAGTAAAAATAGTCTCAGTATGAAGAATATAAAAAATTCATTAAGGAATTTTCATTGATTTTCTGAATCAAGATTTTGTTATCCTATCTTATAGGCTGAAAGTTTTCAATAGCTTAAGTCAATTAACTAAGTATGCTTCTTTTGAAAGGACATAATTTTTCTGACATGCTGGTATAAGACCAATGCCCATGCAATATACTAAAGAAAATCTAATTCATTTCTCAAAGTAAATATTAAACTAAATCCTTATATGCTTTCAGTCTATAGCATACAATCCAGTGACCTCCTGAAGAGCAGGGAGGTGTGAAGTCCATCCTGTCATAATGAATTACTTTGAAACAATTGTTGCTAAGCAGGGCCAATTCTCTCTGTGTTTTTAAATTCCTGCATCTTTGGTGGTGCTTTCATTGCTTTTTTTCCTCGGTCATCAGACAAATTGCAGCCTTTTCCATTTTGTGTTAACTGTTATTTAATCATAAAAATATATATATTTTTTGTTAGCTGTTTATGCTTTCACTAGTGTATTTTACCATTTAATGTGCCATAGGTAGATTCAGTTCAACTCATTATTTTCCAATTTAAAAATAATTCAAAAAATAAAATAAATAGTCAGATATCCTTGGGTTTTGTTGTACAGGGGATTGCTGGCACCTGTGATACCATGCCATGCTGATGGTGTGACATCTCAGTGAAGTGGGGAGAGAACACGTTAATAAGAAAAAAAGAGGGTTGTTTTCTTTTTTGTGTTTGTGTTGAATATCTCGCTTGGCAGATGTGTGCAGACTTCAAGAGAACCTTCAGTGGAATAGCCAGAAAAAATATAGTTGGAAGCCCCTGTTTTAAAGAACTGCCCCACTTCTGGCAGGCTTTTATTTCATATGGGGAGATATTGGTTCTCCTCTTCTGTAAACTGGAGTAGTTTCACGGGTTACAGTGGAGCTGTGCCAAATATGGTGGTGGAGGATAGAGGCTCTGGAGTTTAACTCTTAAAAATAAATACATCAGCAAAAAGTATCATTTCTAGTCCCTTCTTTGTATACTGAAGTTAGGCATTTGTGAGATCTTACTTTGGCAACTAGTGTAGAGAGGTGGAGATCGCAGCTTACATGAATACCAGAAAATACTTGGAAATTTATACATTGCTTCTGGTGAGTGGTTAAGCAGCTGAGCACAGGGAGCTCTTGTGTAACTTCAGTGTTGTTTGGGCTGGTCTAGTGCGGGGGAAAAATGTGCTTTTGTGGAAATTAAAACTTTTTTGTCCCTTCTTCCTGAGTACGCTTTTTTGCATTTTCTTTAATAACAAAAATGTATTTGTATGCTTTTCTAGTATCAATCCCAAACTTAGATCTTCTCTTTTGGTTCTCTGTTTTCTTGGATTACTAAAAGTATTTTTACTGTTCTCTACAGCAATTCTGCATTCATGTATTTTTTAATTGCAGTTTTAAAAAAAATTATTTTCAACAGTTCACTGAGATCGTAGAACCAAAATAATTTATTAGTGTGATCTCTATGACTTTTTAAGAATAATGGAATGTTATTCCAGTTTATCTCTGTTCTTGTAGGAGTTAGGCTTAAAAATATTAATGAATTTTAAAGATTTTTTTGCTTATGTCAATTTACTGTTTAAGCAAGAGGTTTTGTTCTGTTTTATTGGAATGTAAAAAATGCAGGTTGACATTTGACTTCAGTGGGATGGTGCCTGGCCCTATATACGAGGTTATGTATTTACTGGGACTGCAGCCAAGGTTGACGTGTCATTGGTTCTGACTGTCACTGTAGTGAAGTACAGGGTTTTTTTCTTCATTATGTATTTCATACTCAAACATTGTCCTTTATTGCTTATTTTGTATATGCATGTAAAAACTCAAAAGCAGAACTTAGGATTTTGACTATTAAATTCGCGGAGAAATGTAGTGTGATTTTTGTTGTGTAAACTGGAGATTTGCTGCAACTATAAGTTGTAACTGTTGGGAGGGATAAACAGCTAAATTAAAAACTTCTGCCTTATTTTTGCAGTATATGGACAACTGAAACATTTCCAGATAAATTACACTTAAGAGAAATGTTTCTGTTCAAGTTTGGTTATATATTTTTTTATTATTACAGTTTTCAGGCAGCACACATATATTTGTTTTTCTGGTTTGTTTTGCCTTTTTTTGCATTATGTTGAAGTTCATATAAATGTCTCTATATAGATTTCGTTCTTGTGAGTCAGTTCAGCATTCGGACTTTTTTGAAACTTGTGTGCTAGTCTAAATTCATAAAATATATATTACTCCAACATGTAACATTTATCTGCTAGTAGGTCATTCAGCACCTGGATATGTAACCAGGACAACTTTAAAACTGTTTTCATGCTTTCATGCTGCACAGAAACTCCTTAATTTGCTATTTCCACCTACCACCAGTGCCTGCATAGACTAATGGGATTGCATTAGGCAGGAAAGACCAAAAAATTTTTTATACTCTGAAGTGGCAAGTAAAGTATCTTCATAGTATTTAATTAATTCATTTTGCACTTATCCAGTGCAGTTTTTATATTCCATCAAATTTGTTTTTAAATGTGCAAAGATAGAACCTGGCATGTAACTTCTCATACATCTGGTCTTTCAGGAGCTCTTTTTCAAATTCAGACAAATATAACACTTGTTTCATTTTTTAATTTCTTTAAGGATCATGGAATTCTAATTTATATGTATTATGGTACTTAATTTTTATGATTGATACAAAACAAATCAGCTAATTTTAGTTTTTTTAATAAAAAGAACTACATGAAAATTCACATTCATTGCTATGAAACATTTACTTTAATGTCAAATCTATTAAACTGCATACTAAATATCTGTTCCACAAAACTGGATTAGCTATGAATTTTACTTACAATTTGCACCATTTACATAGAATGTTCTTACAAAATTATATGAATTTGCCTTTATTTTTGTATAAAAATTACTTAGCTTTAAAGTTAGTGACATATATTTATATTAACAGTTAAAATTACTGGTTGTCCCTACAGTTTTTGTGTTCCTTCATTTTTTTTTCAATATTTTCCTTTTAATAAATTGCTGATTTTCACCCAATCTCTGAAGTTGCTGTAGATTGCCTTGAGTGTTTTTTTAAGCCCCAATCTTTATACACACACACACACACACACACACACACACACAGACATATATATGTAAAAGCATGTGTTTCTTTTGTGATTGTCTTAAGGCAACTGGTGAGGCTGACCACATGAGTCAAATAACATATCTTACTGGTCTTACTGGGGTTTGATCCTGAAAGCAAATAAGGCAAATGTTGGGATGATGGATTAAACGTGCTAAAAGTCCCATTGGTGTTGAAGCATTTGAGAATTTGAGTTTAGGTGGGTATCAGCAATCTCCAAAACATACCCATTTTGCTAGTATTACAGACGTTGTGCTCTAAATAGGTCATGTTATTTTTCTACTTACTGGCTTTGTTTTGTAGAACATCTGAGAATTCTGTTGTATGAAACACTACATTTGTTGGACAATTTAAATGACAAAGGACAAAATAATAGTTTTCAGGATTTCTATGAAAGGTTCTGATGAGCCTGGAATGTCCTGTCCCAACTTAGGATTCTGAGATACTGAAAGAAGATAAATGAGACATATTTTTTTCATTGTTGTCCTGTTAATGGGCCCTTTTGTTTCTACCCTCTGTAAGTAGAGTAACAGTAAATACTTAAGGAGTAAATATTTTTACGTAAATTTTCTATAAAATACAAAGTAGAGAAGTGATGAGATTATTAAGTCTGCTGAACTTAGCCACTGCTCATTCTAATTGTAATTGCTGTTACTGTGGAAGACTTTAGGGCTTGAAGTATAGTGCCATTTTTAATATATGTTTTAAGAAATTTAGTAAGCACTAAGATACTGCATTTTGACTCTTTAAATGTTAACTTCATTTGTTTTAAACACTCTATTTTTCTAGATTGCTAGTCATAGTGGATATGTACAAGTTGACTGGAAGAGAGTTGAAAAAGATGTAAACAAAGCAAAAAAACAGCTTAAAAAGCGTGCAAATAAGGCAGCGCCTGAAATCAATACTCTAATTGAAGAGGTAAGTCTAAGCTGATAAACCTGAGCTATTAGAAAACAGTTTATAACCGTGCACTGCAGGTGATAATTAGTTGCAGCATGCAGTGCAAAACTTAGGAGCCATAATTCTGATTATAACAGAAGAGCATCAAAAATAGTCTGCTGGCCGTATATTTTAATAGAAGCTAGATTTTTCTGAAAAACCGCCCACTGCCTGTTTGCTGTACTGAAATTCCCAAACTGGCTTACATCTTTGGCACTTTTTCTGCCTTTGGCTGATTATTTTCCTGACCTTTCTGCTCTTCCTTTTAGAAAAAAAGAATCTAAAGTTGGTTGCATTTACTATGATACTGTGTGGCTTTAAATTAGCTGCATAGAAATCTTCATACTATTGACTGTTTTATCAGTTTGTACTCCCTTTTGTTCACTTTGTATTTTACAGCTGATTTGAGCTGATGGCTTAGACTATAGTTGGCTTTGCTAGTTAGGTTTAACAGGTCAGCGAAAACTGGTAAACTCATGACAGAATAAAAGTTTGAGTGTTGTCGTTAAAACATATGGAGGTGAAAACCAGATCTGTTTGGTTGCTGATCACAAAAGCACATGATGAGAAAAGATTGACCTCTCTTTTTGAAAGAAGTTATAATCCCTCTGCAACTAGAATCCTATACTTACTTTTTTACCTCTTTTTTATACAGTTAGATAACGTAATGTGTGTCTTCAGAACCTGTCAACCGTAGTAGCTTGAAAAGGGCAAGTCTGTGATACTGATTCAGGTGTCACTGAGGCCATTTCACTCTGTCATTTGAGCACATTCATCATTAAAAAAAAGTAAGGATGGCCAAATGCTTGGCCTGTTTTTACATACTTTTCATGTAGGCATATTACGTATTACATACCTCTAGCAACTTGTCATCCAGACAGTCTTTCTGTTTCTTTCTCTGTTACTCTGAAGAATCAGCTGAAACATGCTGCAGACTCATTAATGTTTTGAAATTAACAGTGCAGTATCTTTGATTTAACCCATATGGAGTTACAGTTAAGATGTTGAGAAGTAAGTTATATTTCAAAATACATCCTTCAATATGAATTTGAAGCAGAGATTTGAGAGAGATGGTTTCCTGACTTCTTTAGTGCTCCAAATAGCTTAAACTGTTTTTTTTTTTCTTTCTCTATTTTCCAGCAGAAATGGATGGGGCAGTATGAATTTTTTTAAGTTACCTTTTTTTTTTTTTTTCCCCTTCCTCCCTCTGTTTTTGTACTATCGTGTAATCTAAAGTGTTGGAAGCAAAGGATTTACAAAATGTCCACCATATTACAGTAGAGATGGCCATGTTTGAGGTAACAAATGTTGCACCTTGTGTGATTACAACGAAATACAGATAAAAGTTGTCATGTAGAATCATTTCTTGTTAGACTAGGTTGTGCTGTAGGTGACCTTGCGTGTGCAGGGGGTTGGACTAGATGGCCTCTAGAGGTCCCTTCCAACCTTAAGCATTCTGTGATTCTATGAGGAATCTGGTTCATACAGAAACGAAGTGTATTTTTCCCGTGCCCTCCTCTTCCAAAACTAGTACTTTTTGTATTTTTTTATGTGACTAAAATTGAAGTGATGATAATTCTTCCATTTTTTGTTCTGTTTGCCAAAGGAGTATGTAGTATTTTTTTAATTAGAATTTTTTTAGGAAGAGCATTGACAAAATTATTATACCAATTCCTGTGTTAACTGTATTGTTAAAGATGTCTGAGAGTCAGTTTCCTCTCCACTGGACCCAGCAGTTGCCTCAGACTTCTAACTTTACATATTTTTCAACACATTGGTTTTTACCTCTGTCATTTTGGTACTCCCGTTTCCAAACAATTGCGATAGAAGCATTGAATGTTACGGTCGGATGCAGTAGGTTCAGGCTTTTTTAAAGATGATTTTTTTCTTCTCAGTCGACAGAATTCATCAAACAGAACATCGTGGTGTCCAGCGGGTTCATTGGAGGCTTTTTGCTAGGCCTTGCGTCGTAAGGACCCGGGTCGCCTCTTGGTGAAGACGTTGCCGCCTGCGAGGAGCGGCTGCCGTGGGGCGCTGCCATAGAGCAACCGGGCTCACTGGGCCCCATGGAGCCGGGCGAACGGACTAGCTAGGCACTTGGGAAGCTTTTCCATTTTAGGCTTTTGCCTTTTGAAGCTTGGCAAAACTAGGATTTGCTCAAAAACTGTGCAGTGTGCTCATTATAGCATTTCTGGGCAAAACTGTTTCACCTTCATCATGCCTCTTTCTACCTATGACCATTCAAGATCTAGCATTTGAAAATGTTATTCTTGGAAAATAGATAAGTAACCATATTACAAAAAGGAAAACACAATTCTCTGTTCTGTGGTTTGTTTGTTTTTTTTTTTTTCCCAAATGTTTGTTTTAAAAGTCTTTTCTTCATGCTGTATTGTAAACTATTGATGACTACATAATGTATATGATATTGTAATTTTAGCCTCATGGCTGACCATGTTCCTTAGAAGTCATTGCAATAATATATAAATCTGTAATGCCTTTTTACAGAGTATTAAATAATGAAGAATCATGAGCTCATTAAAGGCAAAAATCAACTTTGAGTCTGGCCTTTGTGTACATTGGGGAATAAGAGTCTTATTTTTTAATACAAAGGCATAGATTAGAAATATTTGCTAAGGTATTTGTGCTATTTGTATGCCAAGTAAATATATATATGTTATTTTTTCCAAACAGGTAGTCATGCTTAAACTCATTGATACTCTGCCCATAGTAGACCTTTTTGCAAATGTTACTTAGTTGGACTTATGTCCAGATTGTCAGGTCTGAAGTACTAGGGTACAGATCGGCTTCAGTTACTGCTTATTGGAAGAATTTCTGTTTCGTCCTGAACCTGGGAGAACAAATGGGTCTTAATCTGCTCTGTTTGCTTCCTCTGTGTTTTGACAGATCAAAGCAGAAAACAAGTTCTAAGGGAGCTGGGAGGCATAACTCTAGATAGGCTGGAAAGTTTAAAGTAGGCTTTTCAGGTCATTTTAGTTATTTGTTACTAGATTATTCAAAAGAAGCTGGGAATCTAAAAATGTTCGTGCATTCCTCTCCCTTTCAAATTCGTGAACCTTTTAGAGGCAGAGTCCTCCCACCCAAGAAAATGGCTGTTTGCTGCACTCTTCTGAGTTCCCCGCTGCTTGCTTGCTGCAGCTGGCAGTTACTGTGGAAGCAAGTGTCTCCCACGGGCTCTCCTGGGGCTCGTTCCCGGCCATCTGGTGCTGCTGAGTCGCCGCTGGGCACTGCGTGGACGGCGCCTGGTGGCCGCCCGTCACACGGGGCCGGCGTGACAGGTACTTGGCACAGCGGCCGGGGGGATATTTAGGCCTGTGCCGTAGGTTAGCGTCGCCTGCATGCTTCTGGCTGGGCTGGATAAGCCATGGAGCATGTCGGGCATGCCTGCGAGGCGTGAGGGGTGGTGGAGATAAAACCTGCCCAAGTTTATGGGTATACAAACTGGAAAAATAACACAGCTGTAGTTCACTGGAAGTGGGAAATCCTTAGTCATTTGGGATTGAAGAAAAGACGCATGAAAATGTTAAAGTGCTGTAAAATTCCTTTGCCTTATTATTCTCTGCAAAGAATATTCTGAAGATGACGACTGTTGTCTTTTCTGCTGGGGAAGATGAAGCGAATGGATGTTGATCAGAGCTGCCGAACGCGACTGGGAGTTGAAAGCAGCAAGTTACCTGCCCTGACTGCGAGGAACTCAGGCACTCGGGAGGGCTGTGAGACTGAAATGAACAGCTTGCTGCCAGGAATCTGCATACATTTCAAAAAGAGCCGTCTCGTATTGTCATGTGCTTTCTAAAAAAAGCTGCTGCTATGACCCAGGAATATACCTCGTAGTAAGAACTGAAACAATACAAAGCAAGCCTGTTTTCTAATAGTCCACAAGCTACTGTTTCTCCAAGAGAGAGTTACTCTGCAGTTTCTATGGAAGAAAGTTACTCAGCTATTCTATTACCATCATCTTAGATTCTAATTAAGGCAATGAATAATGAACTGATTGGCCTAAATATGCATATGAAAGCCATTGGGATACAAAGCATAATGTTATGGTAGATCTAAAAATGGCTGAGTAAAGAAAAGTAAAGGTAAGAAAAGAGAGTATAAATGAAAAGGGTGAGTATTAGGGTTATATTAGGATTGGCCTTAAGTAATGCATTAAAGATTTGAGAAGAAGAATGATTGCTGAATGCAAAATTTGCCATGTTCTTTGGTGACACTGTTCTTTAGGTTGATTAACTATAGGGCACTCTATAAGAAAATACAAATAGAACTGGTAGGACAAGTAAATGGTGGAATAGCAAATACTGATAAATACAAAATACTGAGACAAATAGATAATTTTTTTTCTTGCAAAAATCTGAACTGTTACCTGCCAGCTCAGAATAGGAACTTGGCATGCAACTATATGCTCTATAAATTTGTGGTCTAAAGAATGCAAATGATGAGTGGATTACCAAGAACAGAATGGAGCATAACAGGAATACTATGTTTATAGTGACATGTTCTTTCTGGAATTATTTCAAATTTATTCCTCTGGAAATAAAATTCCTTAAAAGATCACTTTGGGAAAGATGGTAGCCATTCTGGAAAAATGACAGTTAAGGAGGAGAGCCCACACATGGTCTATATGTGGAAAAGATACTGCTCCCACCAAATTCAGCACAATCGGAGCTGGGCAACATATTGGAAAGCAGCATTAATCATAATCAGGAATAGGTAAACTGATGCTGTTGAAGCAGCATTTCTATGCTTTTTATTGTATAGCTGAGGAAATTCAAATTCAAATACAGAATAATAAATTTTCAGAGATTGTGTAACTGGACAGTGGAGCTCCCTTCCACTGTGTGATACTGAAATGAAGGAACAGGTTCTGCTCACGGAAACATGGGGAGGCATTTCGGGAGTGCTCATGTGTATTCAAAGATGCAGGAAGCACAAATTTGTGTATTTCAGGCCATAGCCAATACTGCTTGGTGAGGCTCATGCTACTATCACTGTGGTGGTCAGATTATCCTATATTTGTCTTGTGGAAGCTTGTGTCTTTTTTTTCCCCCTCAAAGACTTGTTATCAATTGCTTCTAAAAACTGAATACTAAGCTAAATGATTCACAAAACAAGCCATATATTCTAGTGTAAAGTAGTAAAGCTCTGTTGAAACTTTACTAAATAATGAGTTTTGGGAGAGACTGCTAATAATGGATTTATTCATTTTGCATATTCTTAAGGGATAATCCATTTTTTGAAATAATTTCTTTTTAGTTAAAGCTGCATCAGGCAATAGGTTTTCATTTGAAGTGAGGTGGGCGGTCGATCAAAATCAGTGTGGTTTCATTACTGAATTTTGACAGACCACCATTTGGCTAAGTATGAGGAAGCTGTTTCTATCTCAGCAGCCAGACTGAACATGAAGATGTTGCAGTTAAAGATACAGCTCTACGGTAGATTCAAGTGTACCTGTCATGAGACTGGCATTCCACACATTTAGTCTTAGAATTTCAGTTCTAAGAAATGTAGAAATTTAGTTTTAGAAATTTAGTAAGCCTTCAGTAAGTCTCCTTCCCTCAGAAGGGAAGGTGCATACAAAACTGGTTGTGGGCGAAGCAACACTTTATTAAAAGCTGGTGTGTCTGCGTGTTTCATCGCATGCTTAGCGTACAGTGGTGTGAAGTAGCGCCCAGGATCAAACTGCCCCGCAGTTCCCATGGCTGGGGCAGAGCGTTCAAGGAAGCTGTAGATCAACTTCTTCGGTAAGTTCCTCCTCCCGAAAGACTTCTCACACTTCATAGACTAGTTCCCTGCCTACCAGACCGTGATGTGTTTTGGCTCCTCTCTCTCCTGCTGGCGTGTTCTGCCCTGTGTATTTACCTCAACGTTTCGTGGGAGCGAGGAGAGAAACTTGAGAGTTTACCTTAAGTTATCGCTGTATCACTGAGCAGCTAAATATGCAACTCGGAGTGGGACTGGCCTAACAGAAAAGAAAAAGGGAGCTGCACTCGGGATATTCTGCTGGCTGTTTGGTGGGATGTTACCTGAGAACGAGGATCTGTTGCTATACATTTAATCCCTGATAAGAGGCTTTCTGGCTTAACCGCAGAACGCCCCAAAAATCAATTGTTCCCAGAGCCTTAAGCTGTACACACCACTTCTGCATGTGTACACTGTACATGTTGAAAATGCCTAACAGAAAACGGTAACGTCCACAAAGGAAATTAATGAGTATCGAACCATACAATTCCCATTTAGCGCAGATGCTTTGAACTTTCTTTGCAGCAAAAGGCTATCTACATAAGCTTGCCAATATGCACTCGTGGGACCTAGAGAATTAAGAACCAATGTGTCTAGTGTGATTTTTAATTAAACATATGACTTTCTTTAAGTATAAATTGTGAAATAAGGGATTTGCTAATTTCTCGTGCATTTAAGGGTTGACAAACTCCTACTGCAGCCCCAAATATACAGATTTTCATTTTCAGATTTCAGACCCTCTGCTGTGAGCCAATTCCAAATGGTTTGATAGATGTTACTCAGAAATCTTAAGCCAAAATACATATTAAAAAAAAGAGAGAAAAAAACTACAGTTATATGAAAAGAAAGTATAAAAAACAAGCATTGCCAAACACTGTTTCAGAATCCAATTGGGAAAATAAATGAATAAACAGGAATAAAGGATTTTATATCCTTAATGCTCTTATAACTGTGTATGATTTTTAAGATTAGAAATATTCAGAAATCACTTTTTATTTCTATAATTTCAAGCATGATGCTTAGCTTACCGATCTATAAGCTCCTTGTGCCAGATGAACCGCATGCGAGGTCCTGCAGGAACTTTTTTTGGAGCCTGCTCATACAAGTAGGGTTAAGCCTGTGCATAATTGCACAGCTAGTTTTATGAAAACAAAGGTAGAGCAAACATTGAAATTGATGAGACCATGGCTACACATTTTTTTTTTCTCTTTTAATATTGTTAAAGTAATCTCTGGGATTTAGAGTCCCCTAAGTAGTCTGTAGAGAATCAGAAAACCATAGACTGCAAAGTATATTAGAATCAAAGGAAAGGCATAGAAGTGGAGTCCAGGTGTCTGCGTGTGGGTGTCAAGCTAGTTACCTTATGCTTTCCTTGAATCAGTGGAAGGAAATGGGCATTTCTGTGGCTCTAAAATTGACATCTAAAATGAGTTAGCTGAATTTGACCCAGGAAGTGGCCATTTTTACCTGTTCTTTCTAACAGAAGATCATTAAGTGACTTGCTCATCTGTATTTACTTAGGATAAGTGAGATAAACGTCATGAAATACGTTTGGAATTCCAA